CACACACCACTCGTCACACTCCACTCATCACACACCACTCATCTTACACCACTCATCACACACCACTCATCACACACCACTCATCACACACCACTCATCACCCACCACTCATCACACACCACTCTTGACACATCACTCATCACACACCACTCATCACGCGCCACTCATCTCATTCACTTTTATCATCCAGTATCTTTCCATCATATTTTCTTATCAGTCTCTACTTCTCGTTGAGAGTTCTTAGAAGCTTAACATGTGGGGTTATCTGGTCCTTTTATTGTGGACTAAATGACTTAAACTGATACTGTAATGTTTTTTGCGCACACAGGTAATCGTGTGCATTCTCGGCCTCGCTTCGCTTGAGGTCATTTGGCTCTACTGTAATTCTTATGTATCTGGGTTACTTTACTATTTAGGTCACTGACCTTTTCCGGAATGTTGCATCGATTTGGTGCGTGTCAGCCAGTGCCCGATCAAAGAAGCTCAATATAAGCCATCTCTGACCAGTCTCCCTTCCGATTCATGGTTCTCGTCACCTTGCAAAATCCTTTCTCTTGGTCAGGATAACGCTCTGGCGCCTAGGTTCCACTGAACCGACCAATGTGTGAGTGGAGCAACCTGCATTGCTTTGCACAGCTGTCACTTTTGACGTGAATATGTCAATAGATCATATTACTTCCATGCAGGACCCCCAAATCAGCCATGGGACGAGCTTGAAGAGGTTGTCCACAAGAGTCCTGTATGAGCAAGAGCACGGAATCAAAGGATTGGATGAGGTTTGGGGGGAATCTTCCTTGAAGAAGCGTGAACTATCAAACGTCCAGTTACTAGAAGCCAACTTAGCCTTGTAGCTTGCTCCCTTTCTTAATTAAGTAGGCGTCTACTTAATTAAGTAGGAGCGGGCAAAACAAGCTGTTACTTAGAACGCATTTGCCTTCCGAGCTCCCATGAAATCACTCTCTCAGCCAAGCATCTCATCGTAAAGCCACTCACCAGCTTCTCGTCGGGACAAGTCGTCACCACGCTTCGCCAGCAAAATCATGCGATCCACAAAGTGGGTAAGGGCCTCCAGTGCATTCAGTCAAAGGTGGAGCAGAGTGAAGGAACTAGACCAAGAGCAGCATGCTGGACACATCTCTGAACCACTGAAAAATGTATACAAAAATCCAGCATGTCACAACGGGATGTCAGCAAACAGTTTGAAAACTTGAGCTCCGCTGATTTGATTTTATGGAATTTGAACAACGTCCGCAAGATGGGCTTCCCAACCTCTGCCTTTGCACGAGTGGTCTTAATGCGCCCCACACGAATAATCTGCGTCGTGAGGTTTTTCATCATGTTTTTTCTATACCTTGGGAGGCATGGAGGGCAAGTCGAGAGTATGGCAGAAGCAGCATGGCAGCAAGAGTTTGCCATACGTCAAAAAACAAAACAATTGCACGTGTTTCTGCAGGGAGATATAAAGATTATAAAAGAATCTGAAGACTTTATATAACTCCTGAGACAAGGTGCTCATAGGAGGCGCCACTGAGTTTTGGAATGACTCGTTGCTGTCCCCACTTAGGAAATCCCAAACGGGAACTGCGCTGGATACCGCCTGACTCCTGCAAAGCGAATTCACAGGTCTGGACATGTCAGCTTTACATCGAGCAGCTCGTTGTAACATGTTGCAACCCACCTTGGGGCCATGATATTGTGGCCCATACATTGCATCGTCGTCCTGCATGGCAGTACAAAATAGCCTACATGTCTTCTGCAAATATACTGCAGTGCTCTGCGGTCCCTCTTGATAGGGCCACCAAACTTTTTCTTGAAGAACATCGTGGTTGGCATCTCTCTTCGGCGTGATCGAACAAAGCCAGCGACCAGAAGGCCTGACAATGCTCCGCATTGAATCCAACTAAGCGCCACTGGGATCTCACAATTTTTCTCTAGCACTTTGCGAGAAATGGCAAAGTCCTCTATCACGCTAGCATCCTCTTTGCATCTTCAAGACATTCCAATGAACTAAATCCCCATCATCTCCCAGTGCCTGCGCAACTTGCCAGGGATGACCACACCATCACATTACTCTGCTGCGCCATAGGGCGGGCACCTGACACCACAGCACCCACAGCACCCAGTCGGGTGGCTGGTGGCGCTCGGGTTGCCACGAAGGCCTCACAGCTGATCAGATCAAACAAAAAGAACTTATGTTCCTAGCAGCTTCCTGCTCCTAGTAGTAAGGCCAGGAGCCCCTAGTAGCGTCCTTGCCCCTAGTAGCGTCCTTGCTCCTAGTAGCGATGCCCTTTGTTCCTAGGTTCATTTCTTTACAGCGGTGGGTAGCCCATGAGGAGGCTGTTAAGTAAGCCAAGGCAGTAGCTACAGGGTAAGTAGCGCTACTAGGCTTGGACGCAGAAGAGCTCAGCACCTGAGGGTTCCTAGAAGAAACGTGAGCCTTTATGTGTTGGTTCCTTCTTTTTGCAAAACTTAACTTTTCCTCAGATCATAAGGCAGTCGATGCACCTCCACATTGTCTCGTTTATTGTCAATCGCTTCTAGGTGAAACCAAACAAAGCTGCAAACCTATCAGAACATCACGAATCGAATAGAAGTTGTAGAAGCATGTCAAGGAGATTGTCACAAGGCCATCGTGGCCCTTGTTCTTGGCCATCTTAGGTCATCACATCTCAATCTTGACGGGTTGTCCTAATCTCCTCACCTCGGCGGCTCCTAGCGCCATCATCACAAGCAAAGCGCGAGTCGGCGCCATGGCACACCCGGGTGCTACGAGCGTAGCCCGGTAGCCCTGAGAGCCGCCACATGCCGCCAGTTCGTCTCTGGTTAGTACAGAGTCAGATTGTTTGCAGCTCCTCCCAATCAGTTGCTGGGAACGACACATTTCCAAAGCTGGATCGTGACATGAGTTTTTGAATAGGAAATGATGCGCACGGCCTGTATTAGGCCTTTCAGCTCTTCTGCATTGTAAGGACTGGCATCAGAAACCCGCGCTCGCCAGCTCGTCCAGCAGCAACTGAAAAGCAACGCCCAGGTGTGAAGGAGTTGAGTCAAGCGTCAGCACTTGCATGTTTCAGATCTTTTCAGTCCAAAGAGTCCTTGCTACTAGTAGCGATGCCAGGAGCCCCTATAGCTTCTTGCTCCTAGTAGTAAGGCCAGGAGCCCCTAGTAGCGTCCTTGCTACTAGTAGCGATGCACCTTGCTACTAGTAGCGTCCTTGCTACCAAAAAGCAGTTGCATGATATTATACATATATATATATATACATGTCTTGCTACGTAGTCAGCTTGAAAATGTCACGCCTCCACCTTTCGCTGGGCATCACGGAGCCGAAGGCCCTGTGTCCTGAGACTGGTGGGAAGACATTTCGGCTTCAAGTGCTGGAGAAGAAATATTTGAATTGTTCCATCCAATACATATTGCAGTTCTAAGTGATAGTTCTATCTAATCCAAACTGATGACACCATTGCAGGGCATTGGGCCAGCTCATTGGGAAAGCAAAAACTGCGCCTGGAATTACACACTCAGTCCGAGTGCACGACCGAGCATAGTCGGCGTCCATCACGAGAAACTCATTGGAGTCATCAGGGTGGAAGCCACATGCCTTGCGACTTGCAAGACAAATAGACATGATAGTAGCTTAGTAGTGTCCTTTGCTCCCAGTAGCGATGTCAGGAGCCCCTAGTAGCTTCTTGTTCCTTAACATGCATCACATAGCTGTGAATATAAAATACAACATGAGATATCAAAAAAACGAAGGTCACGGCCCCTTTTGTTCATCTGTTTTTGCAAAGACTTCCCCCGCTTTCGGCCCCTTGTATCGTTGAATCCAGGTCTTTCAGTGCGCGTTGCGAGGTGGCCAAACCGGAGGATCCGCAGAACCATCCACCCCATTTCCGGTTCGTGAAGCAAAAAGAACATCTACAGAATCTGCAGCTGAGGCCTCCAAGGCAGCGACTGCCCCCTCAAGACCACCAGCTCGGCTCCTGGAAGCAATGGTTGCTTGACAGGCATTTTGGAAACTGTCCTTGACCGTGACAGGGGGCAAGTCTCCTGAACTTCTCGCTTTTGATGCGCTGATACTTGGTTTCCTGGAAGCATGTTGCAGTACCCAGGATGTTGCAATGCAGGATTGCATATGGTGATTCAGCAGCGTAGCTTTGCTAATCTTTAGAACGAGTGATGGCCTCTGAACTGCCTGGCTTCAACACCACTCTCCTATTCTACGTGTGGAATACATATATTCACGCCGCTCCACGGCAAGGTCCGCCCGCACCGCCATGAAACAGTTGCCCAACAAAAACGGCGAATAGCGAGGTTTTTGAGGTTGACGTGTTGCAAAAAAGGCCACTACGTACCGTATTTTACAGTGTTTTGATGCTCTGTGAGGCAGAAACCACTCCAAATAGCGATGTGTTCGAGCTTGCCGTGGCCCAAAACACCTCTATGTACCGTGTTTTTGAACCTGCTGTCAAAAAACTGCGCAATTTGTGACGTGTTCAACAACATGGTCGCCCAAAACACTGCTATTTGCGAGGTTTTTACATTTTCGCGCAAAGAACTCAAGCTTCGGCATGCAAACACCAACGTTGCCCAACAAAAACGGCGAAAACCGTCAACCAAACAGCACCGAAATCACAAAATCTGCCCCGCCGGCCTCCCGACAAGACATGGGAAAAATACGCATCTCAAAACCGCAAAACGAAGACCAACAGTCAAAAAACACTGTTTTATTTGTTTTCACTTTTCTCTTGCCGGTTCCGGGCGGGCGCGTGCACGAACTAGTCCATTCCGTGCTGCAAAACACAGTGTTTTTGAAGTCCGCCGTCGTGACCTATCAAAAACCAATGGATTTTGCAAAAAAATAGGCACCCCCCCCCAGGTAAACCTGTACCTTACAGTTGTTTATGCCATCCGGATGATCACTCCCTGAGCACCTTCGGTGCGGGCGGATTTTGCTATAAATGTTTTCCGAAATCCCTCGCTCTTCCTGGGGATCTTTGATCACGTGCCCGATGCAATCATTCAATGTCCTGCAAGCATTCGCTCAAAACGGAACGATTCCGCTGCTAGCTGTCTCTGGCAAACAGCGCCTGTAACAAGCTGCAAGCGCTGCAGGTTGTTCCTGCAGAACATGTCGCGGTAGCTGAAACACCCCTAACATGCCCATCTGTGCCCATCTGCACCAGCTCTACCTTTCCAGTTTCGCCCTCGTCGGTACTTGGTTCCAAAACTTGGCCGAGAAGGGCCCAGACATCTGCACTAAAGCTGACATAACGAGCCTCTTTGTATTGCTTCCTCAATGTCCTCAATGCTGAAACCAGCGGATCAGCAGCCTTCAAAGAGTTTGTCAATTCAACAGAAGTACAAAGGAGGTGCCAATGTACTCAGCCAAAGCCAAGCCTGGCTAAAGGTTGGCTAAAGCTAACTTAAAGCAGGTGCTCCGATTGCTCGATCCCTTGCCTTCTCAGCTTCAGGTGCTGCCATCACGGGTGGCTCGGGCGGTTGTTCCTCTTTGTGCTGCGTGGGAGTCGCCTCGGCAGTCTCCACCTGCCTCGGGACACAAACTGAGATAGAAAAACACGGCTAGTAGCGTCCTTGAACCTAGTAGTAAGGCCAAGAGCCCCTAGTAGTTTCTTGTTCCTACTAGTAAGGCCAGGAGCCCCTAGTAGTTTCTTGTTCCTAGTAGCAAGGCCAGGAGCCCCTA